TGTTTTCAAAATTTCTTCTGTAAAAATGGTTCTGAGCCTTATAAAAATAATATGAACTCATTAAAGAATACTGGGACCACAGACTGGGGATTTAGCTCAGTGGCATAAGTGCCTGCCTGGCAAGCGCTAGGTTGTGAGTTTGATCCCTGGTACCAAAAAAAAGGAATACTGGGACCACATTTTTTTGTTTGTTTGTTTGTTTTGATACTGGGGATCAAACTCTTGACCTCGCACTTGCCAGGCAGGCGCTTATGCCACTGAGCTAAATTCCTGGCCCACTGGGACCAATTTTTAAAAATTAAAATTATGCATAATTTCATGCATTATTTCTTTTTAGTCTATTACCCTTGGAGATATATTTAAACACTAAGTAAACTTCCTTATACCTCTTTTTCTCCCTTTCCTCCTGACAGGGTCTTGCTATGTAGTACAAGCTGGCCGCAAATTTGTAATCCTGCCTCGGCCTCCTAAGTACCTGGATTAGAGTTGTATACCAGCACACAGCTCCTTGTAACAGTTAAGTGTCCCTCTAATCATGTGGTCACAGTCATTCTGCTCTAGTACTTGAGACTGAATCCAGGGTCTTGTGCATACTACCCAAACATCTTACCATTGAGTTACATCTCTAGCTCTGGTCACAATCCCAAATACAGAAAAACATTAAACAAGGAGGGGGAACAAGGAGGACACCTAGACATGCTGAAGGACCTAATAGTTATGAACACCTACACTTCCAATAAGATTAGCACTGAATAGCACAACTAGAGATATGTAAGGAAAAATAGAGACACATTAGTAGCATGAGCTTTACGTTTCATTTTAAGTCCATGACAAATTGTGTGTGCACCCACACACAGATTTTTTAAAAAATGATAATAATAAGAGCGTGTCTCTGCTCGTAGGTGGGCATGTATGTGTGCATGTGTGTGTATGTTTTTATTTGTGTGTGTGTGTGTGTATAGCCTGGTACTACAGATTGTGTGTGTGTGTGTGTGTGTGTGTGTGTAGCCTGGGTACTACAGATTGAAGCCAGCCCTCAACGCTTTTTTAAAATTTTGAAACTGGCTCTTGCCACATTTCCCAGGCTGGGTCAAACTTGTGATCCTCCAGTCTCAGTCTCCCTGGCTAGGATTAGAGATATGCACTACTATGACTGCAAGGTAAAATTCATTGTCTGTCTGTGTCTCTGTCTCTCTGTCTCTGTCTCTGTCTGTCTGTCTGTCTGTCTGTCTCTCTCTCTCTGGCTTTTTGAGACAGGGTCTCACTATGTAGTCAAACGCCTTGGGCTCACTTTGTAGCCCAGGCTTTCTCGAACTTGCAATGATTCTCTTGCCTCAGCCTCCAGACAGCTAGGATTACAGGTATGCACCACTATGCCCTGCTTTGAAGAGTTATTCTTTACTGAAAAGAAAGAAATGGGTCTGTAGTCAATGTCCATTTAAAAATAGACTTCATGTTACCTTAAGAATATTTTGAGTTTAGTCAAGTTATCTGCTAGGTATTTTCCCCAGAAGTGAATGGTTTTGTTGAATAAAATTCACTAATTTCATATAAAATTTAAAGAAAACAGACTCCATGAATCACTTGTTCTTATTCAAAGTTCTGCTTAGTATATAGTGATAACAGAAAATGTTAAGAATTTGTCTGGTGAGTGTTTAGATATTCACTGCACTTTATTTAAATTTTTTTTTCTGTAAGTTTGAAATTTTTTACAATAAAATAGTATAAAGTTCTTACTGTTGTTATCTTAGCACCTTTTGCCTACTTATACTTCCAGGTGCACTGAAGAATAATTTCTTCAAAATTATGAATTCATTTGTATTTTAATTGGTACTACACAAAAGTCCTGAAATAAATTTTAAATATTTGCAATTTTAAAATACCCAGTCTCCATATTCAGGGCACTATATATATATATATATATATATATATATATATATATATATATAATTTTTTTTTGTCTTTTTCTTTTTTATCGGTACCAGGGATCAAACTCATGACTGCCTGCTTGCAAGGCAGGTGCTTATGCTGCTGAGCTAAACCCCCAGCCCCATGATATAATAATATATGTAAATAGTATCAGCCTGTAGAGATTTAGTGTTGCTCACATAGGCTATATTATCTTTCTTAGAGTTTTCCCTATTTTAGATTTTCTAGTATTACTATGAATGAAAATTTCTGAAGATTAGACCTCTTAATTAGTTTTTACATGTTTATAGGAATAGTATGAATGTTCTGCATATTTATCAAATATTTTATCAATTAAGTTATTGAAAAGTTGATGCTCTTAAATTTTCTAAGTAAAATACTTGCACTGCCTATGAATTATGGTTTTCTAGTTATATATCATCTTTTTACTTACTATTACATTGTCTGGAATAAACAGAATAATTATATAATAATGGTTACAATATGACTGCCTATTCCTGATTTTGGGAAAAATCTGCAAAGTATTTCCCATTGAATAGGATGCTGGGTTTTTTGGGTTTAAGATAGCTTTTTGTTTTTTGAGACAGTCTCATTAAGCAGTTCAGGCTGGGGCTGGGGATTTAGCTCAGCAGCATAAGCACCTGCCTTGAAAGCAGGCAGTCGTGAGTTCGATCCCTGGTACCAGTAAAAACAAAAAAGCCAAAAAAAAAAAAAAAAAAAAAAAAAAGCAGTTCAGGCTGGCCTTGAACTTACTAGGTAGTCCAGGTTGGCCTCAAACTCACTTTGATCCTCCAGCCTCAGCCTCCAGGCACGTACCCCGCACCAGGAAGCTATTTTCTATTATATTAAAAATACAATTTTTTATTCCTAGTAGTCTCAGAATAATGCTCATGACAAATACTACATTTTATCAAGTGCTCTTTTAGCATTGAGATTGTTTTCTAACTGAACCAAAATTGTGTGTGTGTGTGTGTGTGTGTAGACTAATCTTATAGAATAAACCATATTTGGCCATGGCAATAATTCTTTTCTTATAACTTTCAATTTGGTTTAACGGTATTTTGTTTGGGGTTTCTGAATGTAAATTCATAAGTAGGATTGAACCCTAGAATAAATAAGAAAACAAGGAGAGATTCTTTGCAGAAGAGAAGGGAAACAAGCTGGAAAGAAGGGGTAGGGAATGAAAAATGAATTAAAATGTTGTGTACACCCACCAATGCCCCACTAGGAATGTAATCACTATGCACCACAAATGTGAACTAATACAAAAGGAGTGTAATAAAAAGATTGATGTGTGGCTCTTTTTTGTAGGTTATGTTAGAATTTACTCGTTCATTTTTAAAAGCCTTGCATAGTGCGTTTAAAAACAGTCCTCAATAGGTGTTAAAAAGTTCCTCAATGCTAATGCTATTTATTTATTATGTAATAGGAAAAGGCTGCAGCCCGCGAGCACAAAGGTGAGGTAATGGCTTCCACATCACTTAACCGTCAGCCTTGCTTAGTATGAAGTGTTGTGTCTAGAGACTCCAAGCACACATCATTTAAAAGTAGATACAATATTAAAGTCATAGACAACCAGGGGCAGTCAATATTTTGGAAGATAACTTCAATGCCACAATGACTGCTTGTGGTGTTAATATGAAACAACAAACAAGAAAAACTGGTTTTAAAATATGTATTTCAAATAGCAGCACCATCGTCCTCAGAAGCTAGTCCCTGTAACAGTTGAACATTTCCACACATCGAGCTCTGTCTATAGTTTACTGATCTGTAAAGCCAAGAGCAGAAAAGGGCAGTCTGGGAAGACAAACCCCCAACACCCAGGGGATGGGACAACCCCTGAGAACGGGATTTGGTGAGGTTAGATGGGAGCCAGGAGTTTTATCTTTGCCTGCTTGGTAACCAGAACCATCTCCCACCACATACACATGCAGTGCCAGTGCAGCCTCAAGCTGTGGAGAGAGCTGGGTGATAGAGCACTTGAGCAGCGCGCACAAAGCTCTGGGTTCAACCCCCAGTACTGTAAAAAAAAGAGAAAAAGGGAGCCTGGACTGCCACCTATAGGGGACAGTAAAGAGGCACCTTCTGCTCTTCTGAGCGCTAGTTGGAAAAGGCCTAGCTGAGAAACCCCTTTGAATTTGCCCACTTTATCCAGCAGTGATGATGACACCCCTAGGACACTGTCACTGAAAACCATATGGGGACAGAACACACATCTCTGCCAGGAATAACTGAATTTGAGGTATGATAGTGGTGTCAGGGAAAGATAGCTACAACCAAAAATTTTGTTTTCTTCTTTTTGAGACAGGCTCTTGTAGTTCAGGCTGGTCTTGAACTCACTATGTAGCCCAAGCTGGTCTCAAAATCAAGGCAATTCTCCTGCCTCAGCCTTCCTAATTGCTAGGTGTGCCCACCATACTGGCTTCAGAAAGCTTCTGAAAGATCCAAGTCATAGGAATGTGTCCCAGATTCCACTGCAAATGACCTGATATACCACAAACAAGAAAGCTATCAAACTCTGTGAAAATCAACAATCAATGGATATAAATAACAAAATGACAAAAATCCTAAAATTATCACACAAAGATTTAAAAATGGCCATGGTAAAAGGTACAATGAGTAATTGTGAAGATGATAGAAATACAAAACAAAATGAAAGAAATACAAATTAGGAACTTCAAGTGACAATGTGTTAATTTTCATTTCAATAGTTGCAACAAATGATTGATGCACTGAATAACTTGGGTGGCCTCAAGGGTATTACACAGTCAGTTAGAACAAGCCAACATAAAAAAAGTCAGTCACACACGGCATGGTTCCATTTATTTAACATTCTCAAAATGACAAAAGTGTAGAGATGGAGGCAGATCAGTGATCATCAAGGGCTAGAGATAGTGCTGGGAAGAGAACGGAGCATGGCTATAAAAGGGGGTGACAAAAGTATCTGTAGTGATAAAAATGCATCTCTTGGTGGTGGGGGTGGCTTCATGAATCTACACACCTGCTAGAAGGATGAAGAGGTCTATCTGTGCCTTAGCCCAATAGTGTTTTTCTGTTTTGTTTTGGGTGTATTTTGGAGGGCTTGGGTACCAGGAATCAAACTCGGCCTTGTGCTTGCCAGGCAGGGGCTGTGCCACTGAGTTGTATCCCCAACTCTACTGTTTTGTTTTGTTTTGTTTTTACTTTTGTAAAATGGGGATCCGCCCTGGAGCAGTGTCTGTTGAGGGAGTGTATTCTGCAAGGTGTGAGGTCTCCTTGATCATTTTTCTGTCTACTCTAATTAGAAAGAAGATTCAGCCTAACTAAGAACATGATGATTTCTTCATCCACAGGAGTAAAAGCTTCAGTTTTTCAGTGTAAATAGCCACTGTGGTGTCACAGAAACAGCCCAGCGGATACTGAGAATGTGAGTCACGGGGCTTTACGGCCTAAGCGTGCAGTACCCTGAAGGAAGGGATGGAGCATGGATCTCCCAAGGCCTTCCCTCTCTGTGGGAGAGTCAGGGGATCCCTGTCAGAAGGGAAACACTTTACTTCTTAGGGTCCTCCCAACTCGTGAGATATTACCTTTCCAGGAAGCCGACAGTGACTCCCGGAGGGCTGGGGGATACTCTCATAGTATCGCTGTCTCCTGTACTAAACTTCACCCAAGGCTAATTAATAAAATACAGGGCTGAGTATACAATTTATGGAATATACAAACAATGAGACAATGCAGACGTTAATGACTGGCATGGAGCAAAGGTTTACCTTGAGATGGTTTCAATTTCCTTTTTTTCCATTCTTTTTTACCTATTCTATTTTGACATATGTTTCCTGCATATTTATATGTACTGATTCTGAAGTAACTATAGCTTATCTGCAAAAACAAATACATAAATATAAAAGCTTAATATTCCCCATATATGAGATTTTAAGTCACTGAAAATAAGAAAACTCCAAAACATAACGGTTAATGGCAAATTAGTATTTCCTCTAATTCTAAACCTCAAGTCATTAAATACATAAATAAATACACAGTGATACCTCAGTTACCGAATGGCTCCAAGCTTTATCTTTCCATTATTTGAACAGCAAAGTTCAAAGTAAGTTTTCTGGATAGGCAAACCAAAAATCCAACTGAAAAACTCTCTGTAGGGGCAGAGTGAGTCAGGCATCAAAATCGCCATGGACACAAAGGGCTGATGTTTCCTTTGGTCTGAGCACTGCTCTCGCCCAGAAAGCATAGGGTGTAATTTTTGGGTCTTAGAACTTATTATTTGGTTTTCCAGTATTTCTTATGGAAAACATTTGGAACAAATTGAATTTGACGGCTGAGGTATCACTGAATATTAAAACTACTTTTCTCAAAACAAAATGCATGTATTTTGGATTATTTTGTTTGTGGAGCTCTACCTATCTATCTATGTCCATATCCATTTTAAAGAATTAGAAATTAGTAATATTAATGACTTCCCAATATTGTGCAACTGTCACCTTTATTCCCCAAGCTCTTTAACCACTTCAAACTCCATAACCATTGTGCATTCCATAGTCCTGATTTCCTAGAGCCCAGTAATTTCTAATTTATTTTTTGTCTCCACAAATTTCCCTACAACATATTTTTATAAAAATGGACTCCTACATGTTTGTCTTTTCCTTTCTGATTTGGGATAAGGTTTCCAAAGTTCATTTGTACTACAGCATGTATCAGAATCTCATTCTTTTCATGGCTGAATAATACTTTATTTATGGAGAGTGTCCGTTTTGTTTTTCCAGTAACCTGTTGATAGGTATTCAGACTATTTCCACATTTTGGCTGTTGTCATAATGCTGCATTGAACACAATCCTATAAGTCACTTCTCTCAATTATTGCACTTATTTAACTAAGAACTGAACTGTTGGTTCATGAATTTTGTATTTAGTTTTTCAGGAATCAGCAAAGTGATATACACAATAATACTTTTTTTTTTTTTTTTTTTTTGGTCTTTTTCCTTTTTATCGGTACCGGGGATTGAACTCATGACTGCCTGCTACACAATAATACTATTTTATGTGCCCACCAGAATGTAAGAGAGATATCTACTATTTTTATTCTCCCAAACTGAAATACTACCTTAAAAAATGCAAGGCTGACTAAGAGAAGAAAATAGGCAATGTTGAACTAAACTGAATGGAGCACAAGCTGGCCAGTTTGACTAAGGACAAACTGACAATATGTAAGTATGAAATAACTTCTGAGATATATATATATACCCTGTCCTAGGAATTTCACCTGATGGTGGTTTATCCTATACAAAAAATTGAAGATGACCACACAGAATTATATGGTTTTTTAAAAAAGGAAGAACCTAAAAAATTAATGGTAGAAGTCTAGACAAATAAATGATTCATCCACCATTAAAATATCTTTGTTTTCAAAATTATTAATGACTTAAAGGAAATGTACTGATAAATGAGATGAGTTTTGAAATATTAGTACACTGTTAAGATAATATTTTATAGATAGAAGTTGTATGACAAAATGTTATGGATAGTTATATTTGTGGAATTAAATTGATTATTCAATATTCTTTGTTGTGATTCTGTATTTTTCCAAAACTTCCAGAATGAATGGATGAACACATACATACACAAACACACACGTACATAAGCAGGACAATTTTTAAAACTAAAACCACAATAATGTGACAAACAATGCAAGCAAAGCAGCCTGCTTAGTTCCTTTTCCGAAGTGTCCCAGTACGGAAGGTCTCCCGGCCTCCGCCCGCGCTCCTCCGCCCCAGACCGAGAGGTATAAGAATCCTGCAGGTTTTTCCTCTAGTGTCAGCACAGTCACAGCTTTTCATGGGTTTGGTTTTCTAGCCACACTCCACTTAAATTTTATTGAAAACCTCACAAATAAAAAACGAGGCTCCTCCAAAGTTCCTCTATGATCATTGGCTTAAAAGAATTAAAAGTTAAAGAAAGCAAAGTCCAGGTTTTGGGCCAAACGACCTGGGTGGAAAAGTAGGCTGGGGCAAGGCAGTTTTCCAAAGGGCTCTACCCTGTGGCGGGGTAGTTTTCAGTAAGCCTAAGGAGAGAATATTTAAATAGCACCCAATTTACTTTTTATTTTCATAAAAGGAGGGAAATGAAAGAGATGGAGGTACAGATTTGGCTCCATTAAAAACCACAGCTGAGCCAACAGCAGTGAGCAAACCCATAGAGGTTACCTGAAATATGTATTATACATTTTCCCATGATAAAAAGCTTCACGATTTTTCCAGTTCTCAGCAATTGTTGGCTTTCTTACATGACCTGGTATAGCAACAGGGGACATTACTTCCTTCGACCAGGAAATTCTTACATTTTTTGTAGTTACGTGTGGACCCACGAGAAGCTTAAGGGTAGGGGTCCTACTTCCAGAATCCTCTGCACCAGGGCTAGGTGAAGTGATTCTGGTAACAAAACATAACATGCAAGTTTTAAGTACACTTTTCAATGGAAAGAAGAAATATTTTTCATTTCCTTCTTCCTTGAAATATCTTGTGAAAGCAAGGTATCTTGCTTGTAATAACTTGCTTATTATAAAGTGCTCTAACAAAGGAGAGTCGACGGGGGCACTGTAGAGAATCTCGAACAAACTAAAACTGAATTTGGAGCTCAAAGTACTAAAACAGGCCATACATAAATGAGATTACTAACTGAACTATCACATGATAAGTATGAGACTAGGTACAGATTTGAAAGGCACTCATCTCAATATCCCCAAGCCTGCCTCAGAGTCATTATCAATGACCAGCACTTGTTAGAAAGCACTTGTCCCATAGACTACACTGAAATAAATATTCTAAAGCTGCCTGGTGGCGTTGCCTTATTTTATTTCAACTGAAAATTTTTGTCAGTCACACGAGAAAAAGTTCTGGAGAGCTATAGTCTTTCCTAAATATTTAAGACAAAAGCAGAAGAGTATCTCCGTTACTCCTTGACCAACATCTCCCTTCCTAGAAACCTGGAACAGAGCTCTCGGCATCTCTGCGGACACGAATGTGTGGCTGGGGAGACAGAGCGGGAGAGAGGACATCAAGCCCACCCAACTCCTGGAATTTCTACAGAAAAGACAAAACTTTCCAAATGAAATAGTCATTTTGGTAAATGAAACCATTTGTAACTTCAGAGAAGTTTTTTTCTTTCATTCCAAAATATCAAAAGAAAATCCACACAGTGTTCTAGCAGGCTATAAAGCTTTGGTTTAGAGAAGGGTCAGCAAGACCTAAAACCACTAATGTCATATTTGAAGGAGAAGAGTAGAGGGCAGCTACACCTCAACACTTCCAGGGCTCCAGTGAAAGGTCTCGCCCAGGCTAAAAATGATCTGCCAAACTTACACGAAAAACAAAGAGAACATCTTTTGTGCATATGGTGCTGTTACGAAATACTGACTCTTTCACAGACATCAAACAGAATTATCAAAATAAGAAGACAGACAAACACTGGGTAGTTAGAGATAGAGACAAAAGACAAACTGAAAGGGCAAGAAGAAAAAAGACCTTTAAAAAAAGACAAAACAGAGACAGGAAAAAAGGACAAAGACCAAGACAAAACAAATATACACAGCCAGTGTGACATGATCAGGAGAGTGATCTGTTGTTCTGGTAAACCAATGGCCTCATTTCGTGACTTATTTTAGACTAGGAAAACCGTTCTTACATTAACAACAAAGAGTAAGTCAAACCCACTGGGGCAGAAGTATTTTGAGGCTCTTCTTTTAAGGAGAAAAAGAGGCTTGGGTGCTAATTCTTATTCCTTAGGGCAGACCAAAATCCAAAGTCAAATCACTATATCTTCCTAGAGTTAAAAAAACATTTAACATATTCCTTAGTAAACCACAATGATTTTCATATTGTAGATCTGAAATGTCCCCTGAAAGTCTCACCTGTTCAGAGGTAGGGCTTCAGAATATCATTAGTGGACCAACCCACTGATGAACTCATATTGAATTCAGTAGAGGCCACTGAAGGAGGCAGGTTGTTAGGAGTCTGCCATTAGAGGATCTCTCCCTCTGGCTCTTCCAGTTCTTTTGTTTTTCTAACTGCCACAGACTAAGCAGTTTTCCCCCTGCTAGGTCCTTCTGTCATACTGTTTCTGTCTCACAGCCAACTCTCCATAGACTGAACCATCAGAAACCAGAAGCCGAATAAACCTCACCCTGTTAAGTTGCAGGTGTCAGATATTTTGTCCCAGTGACAGGAGAACTGACTAATACAGTGAGTCTTTTCCCTTAAAGGATTGTCAAGTGCCTCAGATTATCCCACATGGACACAATGACATAAGATCAACATTTTTACAAGGGTGTGCTAACACTCTTACAACAGAATTACTACAGGAGGCATCAGGAGACTTACTGTCCCACTGGCATCCTCTAATAGTGGAAGAACTAGATGGTAGGGATGAGGGACGATGCTAATTTTAGGGATATAAGGTCTCAACTGAAATATCAGATTCTAACCTGCTGCTTTTACTACCTAATCTCATATCCAGTCACACAGAAGTGACAACACAGGCTCCAGAATAACGATGCCAGATTCATCCAAAGACCTACCACATCTGTTTTTCTCAACTCTAAAGAGGGACAAAAGTACAAGCGGCCTTCATAGGACAGTCATGAGAAAGAAACAACACAACAAATGAGACAAAAGCTTCAGGACATGGTAAAGGCAATCACTACTATGAACAGAAGAAGGAGAGAATATTTAGTACTTTCATGTTCTTGAACTGTGGTCAGAGTTGTACAAATGTTAACTCTATTAATTTTCACAACATGGAAGATCGGTTTTTTGCTTGTTTGTTTGTTTTTATTTTTGACACAGGTTTCTTTATGCAGTTCAGGCTGTCCTTGAACTCACTTTGTAGCCCAGGCTGGCCTCAAACTTGAACTCACAGTGATCTTCCTGCCTCAGCTTCCCAAGTGCTGGGATTATAGGCATGTGCCACCATGCCCGGATGAGATAGGTACATTTATATTCTTGTTATAGACAAAAATCAAAGTCACACATCTAGTCAGCTACAAAAATAGTAGGCAAACATATTTGATTACAAAGATCACATATTACATATCTGTCCATTCTAAAAATGCATTTATTAAAAATATTTGAAATAATGCTACAATAAATGATGCTATCAAGAAATTCAAAAGAAGCCAGGCATAGTGGCACACACCTGTAATCCCAGCACTTGGGAGGCTGAGGCAGGAGGATTGTTATGAGCTTGAGACCAGCCTGGGCTACAAAGTGAACTAAAGGTCATCCTGAACTGCATAGCAAGACCCTGTCTCAAAATGACATACACAAAAAAAAGAAAAGAAAGAAAATCTCAAAGTAAAGTTATTATACTAAATTTTTCTGAACTACAGCTTCATCTGAAAAACAGCAAGTATAACAATATATTAACTCTTGGGTTTTATGAGGAATGACACAGATAATGCATGTGAAATGCTTAGCAATGTAGTAAGCAATTAAATGTTACATAAACCACTATTAGTTCATTATATATGATTTAATATGTAGCTAAGGATTTAAGTAAGATATTATATATCCCATTTATTTACTTTTAATTCTATAACTTTCAGAGAATAAACCAGTCCAAATAGGCTCCCTCAGCAAGAGAACACATAATGAAAAAATGTATCTTTTTACATTACTTTTCATGGTAACAACCTGAAAATAATTTAATCTCAGCTAAGGAGATTAACTTGATATAGCTATTTTTGTAAATGTTAATGGTACTATATTCAGACGTTTCCATAATCTTTTCCCTTCCATTCTTGAAGCCATATATGTTAAAGCAAACTAGCAAGAAAATCACATGATGAATTATAGAAGCAGTAAAGTTATCACCACAGAGCCTTCTGACTTACTAGTATTTCTAGTATTTCACATCAACCAAATAGTTACCATTTTGTAGATGAAAAATGAAGGCATGAAATCAGCCAGTTATAGGTTTTATAGTCCTCAAACATTAATTTGCAAGAAATGAAATGCTAATACATATATATTTCAGACATACTTTCATATCTAAGCTCTTCCTAACATTTACTAAATATCAAGTATTATTATATGTCAGAAAAGTATTTCTAATTACACTATAAAACAAAGCAAAAGCAAGAGTAATTTTAAATCCTGAAAACACAATATGAGGAGGGGTCTGCACAGCTCTTGTAAGTTTCAAAGTGGGTAGGAGCTCTTAGATCTTTACAGTAATAAATATTGTAGTGTACAGCAGTCCACTGGGAACCCTCACTCATATGTTATTCCATGATTGAAGATCAAGGTGCCAACTCCATTTAGAATCAGTGCATGCCTTGCATTATTCTAAGCATTAACACGTATTTTTAAAAAGCAATAAATATTTCTAAGAGAAACAATCACTCTGCCCCTTGTTACCGCATCCCCTAGTCCCAGAATACAGAACGAATTCTGAGTTTCAGACACTGTTATTTCTGTAGTTTGCATCTCTGATGGAAAAGAAATGTGACCTTGGGCAATCACTATTCTTTAGAGGAAGGCTTTCCCAGCTGGAGAAGCCATTACTTGATTAATAGGGGCTTTAATAGCTGAAAATACCTGTGTAGTACTTAAGGGGTAGGTCTCTCTGTGACCTGCATGGAAGCTGCAGTAAGCCACAAAAAAGTAATAAAGAGTCTACAATCAACAAAATCTCATCTAAGAGGTTTTGCCCCTTGATATTTTATTTTTTGCAACATTGGAGACTGAAACTAGGGCCTCAAGGCATGGTATGCAACTGCTATACCACTGAGCTACATCCTTACCCTTTTCATTTTCATTTTGAGACAGGGTATCAATAAGCTACCCAGGGTGGCCTTCAACCTCTGATCCTGTTTCCTTATCCTCTAAAGTGGGATTACAGGTATGCTTTGCCATACTCAACTTGTCAATGGCATTTTAAAACTGAGATGCCATTCAAGGATGGAACTGATACACTTTGTGACTTCCATAATAAACATGGTATATGATATTAAGGATAAATATCTCAGGAGACTCAGGCAGGAGGACTGCTTGAGTCCAGAAGTTGGAGGCTTACCTGGGCAACATAATAATACTCTGTCCCTTAAAAAGAAAAGAAAAGGGGCTGGGGATTTAGCTCCGCAGCATAAGCGCCTGCCTTGCAAGCCGGCAGCTGTGAGTTCGATCCCCAGGACCGATAAAAAAGAAAAGAAAAGAAAAAAGGTAATTCCTAGGTCACATAAGCATACTGATGGTTACATGAGTAAAATCAAGTTAGACTGTTTTGGTTGTGATGATGATCAAAATTTCTTCTTTTCAATATACAAATTATGTAATATCCCTTGGCCTCACTTTCTTCAATTATTAAAAGTTCTGAAAAATCTGATATGTGTTAAAAATAGACTTTTATTTATGGTTTTTGCACAGATAATGTATTCATCTTTTAAAAGACTACAATGAAAAAAATGGTCTCCCTACTTCTGTTCCATAGTCTTTTAGTTCCTGGTGAGGAGGTAATTACTGTTTCCAGTCAAACACAAAACTTTGGTTTCAGTGTTTCTTGCTGAAATGCTGAATTCATTAACTTTTATTCCGTGCTTATAATGTGTCAGAACCATTTAGGGAGCAACAGGAATACAATGATGAGCTTGCAGAATGGAAAAAGATGCCCAACAAACTTTAATGTGAATGATAAAAATAACAGTAAATGTTCCACAATGGAGAAGAAAATAATTTAACCAAAGGAGAAAACTGAAATTAAGAATAGAAAAAAAAACTAGTTTCACTGCAAAGTGCAAGGCTCAGACATCACAGTCAGTTCTGTGGGTTAGGCCCTCAGATTCAGGAACTGGGCTACTCCTGTGGCAATAAAAGTTCTAGAGGTATTCACTCATGGCTGAGAATTTCTGACACAGGAAGAGTATCAAACGGTTTGCTGTGTCCTCCTCAGGCAGAGAAAAAAGTAGAAGAATTCACTTCCTCATGATGCAAAGATTCTTCCGTTGAAAACTACTTAAACTCATGTCAAGAAAAGATTATTTAGCCAGGCATGGTAGCATATGTCTGCAATTGCACGTACTTCAGGAAGCTGAGTCAGGAGGATCACAAGTCTGAGTCAGCAATTTAGGCAGACGTCAAATGTATACACAAATTTACATTTACATTCACATGTAAAGGGGTAGATGTAGCTCAGTATAAAGGCGCTGTATTCCCAGTACTCCTCAAAACCACCCCCAAGAAAGCATAAGTCCATAAACTATAATGACTTACTAATTTTGCCAAGTCTTCCAAAAAATCTTATTGGCTACATAGAACTTGGGTCAGATGTCTACATGTCAACATTCTGGGTCTAAGACTGGCTACTTAAAAAGACAGCCCAAAAATTCCTAAAATGGTATGACTGAAAATTATCCTAGCATGACCAGAAGAAAACAGCATGGTTACTTTTATTAGATGTCTGCCAGTGTTAACTGTAGATTCCAGAAAGCAGAAACCGGTTACACTGAATGTTGTACAAAGATAACTTTAAAGTTCTACACTCAGCCTATTAGTTCAAGGCACAATTAAGTTGAGAGCTATTAGTTCTTCTATTTTTATTGTGTGTCTAAAATAAAACTGATCAAGGATGAGAAACATTCTGTTTAAACATACGCAGCTTTAGAAGAATGACATAAAAGGTAATTTAAAACACTCCATAACATATTTTAATCACGCAGTTTAACATAGGCCCACACAAATGGATGGTGAATAAAAGATAGCACTACAGGTCCAGAAAGCATGATCCTCGCCAGGTGTGGTAGTGCACACCCATAATCCCAGCACTTGGGAAACTGAGGCAGAAGGATTTCTGTGCATTTGAGGCCAACCTGGGCTACACAGTGAGTTCAAGGCCAGCCTGAACTGCATAGTGAGATCCTGTCTCACAAAAAACCAACAAAAACAGAAAGCATTATACAACTTCAAGTAATACAGAGATAAAAATACAACTATCAACTTTGAATCACTTTATGGTACAAAGGTTTATGTTTTATCAGAAATCAGCAATATAACTAATACTAATTATTTGCTCTTGCCCTACAAAACCAGGCACAGGGAAATACAAAGGCCATGTAAGTTCTCAAAGACCTTTTATTACAAGGCATTACTCTCCCCTTTTCCCAGGCATCCTATGTAAAGAGTGCTCCAATACTGTAATGGATAACAGCGCCAGGTATCTTATGTCAGGGACAAAGAAGTCAGTATGTACAGCTACTGTCAGTACACTTTATGTTTCCACTCTTATGATAAACATGGCACAAAGTATTTCTAATATTAACAATGATAAAAACAGAAACATAAGAACTGCAGCCAGTGTCACCTCCTGGTACTCACTCCTAAACACGGGTCATGGATGTACAAAGTCTGCTTACCTGATTCACTCTTCAGCTTATCACTTAGCTCCAAGAATAGGTCAAGCTCAAATGTGTTATCATTTAAAGGCTCAGTTCAAACATAGTCATTTTTTATCCATTTCCGTAGTGTAGTGGTTATCACGTTTGCCTCACAAATATAGTCATTTTAGTCACTGAAAAAAATCTAGTTTGATATTAGAAGATCACAATCACATGCTGCAGAACATTATATAAAAAAGTGTGCAAGACACCATCATTCAGAAGTGGTATTTAAATTTTAGCACCCCAAACCCTAAAGATACAATGTTCTAGTCCTATAATACCACCCTGGTTCTGTGACTGTTATGAAATTCTCTTAAATATTATAAAGACTACAAAGAACAATGTCTCTATTTTTCTCCGCTCCATGCACAAATTAGCCCCACTGTCCTGGATATAAGCATTTTCTGTAACAACAAGCTACATTTATACTGTCCAAATAATTATAGGTTCAGGTCAAGAACTCCAAACCATATTGATTACATCTCTATGGAAGAAGGACCCTCCAGCGCTGTGTGTAGCCACTATAACAGGGATAGCTTTTAAGTATCCGTGACACTAAGAATTTTCTGTCCTATCAATGCCAGAAATGGAAAAGCCAATGACCAGTCAGGCCTGTCAGTTGTTGCCTGAAGCAGTAAGGACAAGCTGGGAATTCAACACACTGCACCTTCATCTGCCAGCTGCATTCACACATTTTCACCACCTGAATAGTTGATTCTCTTGAACTCCCACGTGGCTCATTTCAGCAGACAGTGTTTGGAAATGAATATTTGATCAGACAGGACAGAAAGAGATTTGGGCTTATCTGAGGTGTCACCATAATGCACTTTGGGTAATTCTAAGTATCAGGAGTGAGGTGTCCTAGGTCTTAGTCTTTCAGTATTTCTGAAATGGACCAGTGATCCTAATTAAATAAGATTAAATGAGATGCGACACATAAAAACACTTTGCACAGTGTTGGGGCTCTTGCTTTTCAAATACTGATTTCCAATAGATTTTCCCTCTCTGCACTGGCAAATATCCTGAAAATTTCTCATAGAGCTTTTAACTATTTTGACACAGGGACCTCATCCTGCCAAGCAAGGTTAAAAATCATCTGGTTACTTTTCCAATTTGTAGTTACCTCAATATGAATCTAAGAAAAAAAAAGCATCAGAAGCTTATTAAAATTGCTTTATGTCCAGATTCCAAAAGTCTGTGATACACTCATGTGTAGTTTTTTTTTTTTTATTTATTTTACTTGGAGCAAGTAAATTCTTAAGACATCTGAGTTGATGCCTTTCATTAATTCTGGAAAATTTTCAACTTTTCATACAATTATTTTGCCCATTTCTTCTGTTTTCTTCCATAAGCAACAAACAAGTAGACAGTTTCTATTGCCCCCACACACTCCTCAGCCTCAATTTTACGTAACTGTTTCTCTCTTTCAGCTGTTTTAACTAAATTTGTAGCTGTTTTGAGTCCCTGACCCTTTCCAGGATTCCATCTTAGTGGAGGCTCGATGGTGGTGAACCTCTTAGAGCTTTCAGCGATGCCAAACAGCTGGTTATGGCACATGTGCCATAAATTTACCACCACTGTAACTCATTCAATTCATCTGAACTGTAAGTTAGCTTCTTTTTCAGATTTTGTCCATATTTTCCTCATTACAATATTGGAAATTTCCTAAATATGATACAAAAGCCTACAACTAACATGATGCTTGATATTGAAGTAAAAGCTCTTCATCCCACGATTATAGGAAAGCAAAAATGCTCAAAATCACCATTTCTATTCAGTGCTTCTATGGAAATCTAGGCAAGTGTAATATGGGCAAACAAGAAATAGAAACTATAAAGTATGAAAAGAAAATCAATTTTATTTGTAGATGACTTAAGATATATAACAGGAAGTCTAAGGACTCTACTAGAATTGATAAATGAATTTAGGCTTTTGAATGCCAGTTCACTAAACAAAAAATATATTATTCAATATTCTATAAGAAAAAACTGAAAAAGGAAATAAAATATGGTATATATGTTAGCATAAAACGCCAAATAATAAAAACTAGTAATTTTTAAAAATATGGTTAAGATTTTTACAATGAAATTTACCAAATATTAGTAGAGCTACAACATATCTAAATAAATGGGCAGTTATAAAGGTTTATATATTGAGGATTTATTTTATTTTTTATTTTTGGTTTCTGTGTTTGTTTTCTTAACAGACACGATCTCATGATGTCTCCAGGCTTGCCTTTAACTTCTAGGCTCAACAGATCATCTCACCTCAGCCTCCCAGGTAGCAGGGATAAAGGTGTGTGCCACCACGCACAATTAGGTCCACATTTTAAAGATGTTACCTCTCCCAAACTTGATCTATTGATTCAATAAAATCCCAATCAAATGTCACCAGAATTTCCATGGAAATGCATAAACTGATTATTTAGCATGTAAGTGCATGTTGGTGTGAGCATATATGCATCAGTGATTCAATGCTTTTTAATTCAGGATCCTTTTGTAGAAAAAAAATTCAAGACCCCAAAGGTCTTTGGTTTACATGCATTTTATACACCAACATTTGACATTTATGTATTAACAAATGTTTTTTAAAAGTCTTTATATAGTAAAACAAATAGCACTTTTTAAAGTAAAAGAACATGTTTTAAACCAAAAGTAAAAGTAACTTGTTAACTGTTGGAGGGTGGGGCACCTCTAAAACAAACAAGAGCTGGACTTACAATCTGCCCAGGCATTCAATTTATTGTGATACATTGTTTAGTGGAAGAATCTGAAAGTTGACCTAAATCTGTTATACATAGTTATTAAAGAACAGAATATACTGATAGCATTTTTCTGGTCATATCTTTTTTGGCATGTTTGTTATACATAATGATAATATTCCTTGTGGGCACTTGGAACATGTTCAGAGCACATCTTGATTCTTTTTAATTCCCTTGTACACCCTCCCCACCCCACTCCCACCATCTTTGGCTCCCCTATCTCCCCACTTCATATTCTTTTATGTTGTACTTTATAATTTAGGTTTCTCATATATTAGAAATCATGTGATATTTATTTTTGTGTACCTGATTTATTCTACTTAAAATTATGGTCTCAAGGTACATTCATTTTCCTACAAATGACTCAAGTAATACCTGTTTATTACTCTATTGTGTAAATATATAACGTTTTCTTTTTTAAATTTTAAAGGGAATTAAACCATTCAAAACAATGAGAATGATACCGGACTGGACTTCGAAATTAAGACAGTAGGAAATCCAAAATAGTTACTATATTGCACATTGTTATTCCTAACTAGAGCTCAGACCGTAGTCTGCCAAGTCAATCAAAGGATACAGCATTAAGTTGTTTCTTTACTTCAGTTGCTATCATCTCAGCCTGTGTTCCTCTAAATCAGCTGGTTGCTTTGTGTGTGTGTGTGTGTGTGTGTGTGTGTGTGTGTGTGTGTGTGTGTGTCTTCTCTCCCTATCCATGCGCTGGCTGACTCATGGGGAGGGCACTGATTCTTGGTTCTCTCCCAGCTGGCTTAACCACGGCTGGTGCACTGGAGGGCAGTGCTTCCTGGTTCTCTCTCCAATATATGACATTTTTCATAACCATTCTCCGTTAATGGACATGTAGTCTGCTTCCAAGATTTAGATTTTATAGGTTGTGCTGCTATAATCATGGACACACATGTAATTACTGCAATATGACAATGTCTTTCACTATTTTCAGGCCACGCCTAGAAGAGAAATAATTTGGTCTAATGGGATTCCCATTTTTATTTTCCTGAGGAATTGCTATGCTGACTTCATAGTGGTTATATTAGTTTACATTCCCACCAACAATGGAGAAAGATTCTACAATGCCTTGCTGGCAGTAGTTATTATTTGATTTACTGATAACAGTGATTCTTTCTGAAGTAAGGTGAAATCTGTGTCATCATAATTTCTTTCTCTCATAGCCAATTATGTTGAACATATTTTCATGTATTTATTAGCCACTTGTATTCTTTTTTTTTTTTTTTTTCTGGTACCGGGAATCGAACTCATGACTGCCTGCTTGCAAGGCAGGTGCTTATGCCGCTGAGCTAAATCCCCAGCCCCACTTGTACTTCTTCTGAGAAGTGTCTATTCACTTCAATTGCCCGTTTTTAAAACTGTGTATTTTATTTTTGGAGGTCTAATTTTTCTGAATTATTTATTTATTATAGATATTAATCCTTTGTCCGAGGAGTAGCTGGCAAAACTTTTTTCCCATTCTGTGGGTTGTCTTTTTCACTTTGTTTCCTTTGCTGCACAGAAGCCTTTTAATTTATTATAGTCCCATTTGTTGATTCTTAATGTTACTTCTTATGTAACAGGTTCTGTTCAAAGAAGTCTTTACCTCCACCTGTGTCTTTAAATGTTTTACCTTTCCGTAGAGTAAGTGTTCCTGTCTTTTTGTGTGTGTGTGTGTGTTTTTCCTTTTTATCGGTACCAGGGATCAAACTCACGACCTCACCCTTGCAAGGCAGGCGCTTATGCCGCTGAGCCAAACCTCCATCCCCAGGGTTTGTTTTTTTTTGTTTTGTTTTGTTTTGTTTTTTTGTCTTAGTGTTCCTGTCTTAATATCCAGCTCTTTGATCCATTTTGGTTTTGGTTTACTATATAGATTCAGTCTTCTAAATGAGGATAACCAGCTTCAATCATTTGTTAAAAAGGCTACCTTTCCACCAATGTATGTTTTTGCTCCCTTTTCAAAGATCAGATGATGAAATGTTCCTGGAGTTGTTTCTGCATCTTCTACTCTGTTCCACTGATCCGTATGTCTGTTTTTACACCAGCATCATGCTGTTTATATCATATAGCTTTGTAAAGTAACTTTAAATTTGGGGTTGTGATACCTTCTGCCTTTGTAACTTAGGACTGCTTTTGTTGTTCTGGGTCTCTTCTGATTCCATATGATTTTAGTACTGCCCTTTAGTTCTGTGAAGAATGCTGCTGGTATTTAAACTGGGGTTGCATTAACTCTATATGAGTTTTGGAAGTACTGTATACCAGTATCATTTTGACTATATCGGCTCTGCCTATCCAGGAATAGGGGTATCTTTCCATCTTCTGATGTCTTCTTCAGTCTCCTTTTTCAGGGTACTGTCTTTATTTTTTATTATAGAGGTCTTTTCACACCCTTGGTTAGGTTAATAAGCAATTTTTCTTGAAGTCATTGTGAATGGTATTTTTTCTAATTTCTTTTTTGGTGAGTACGTTAGTGGGTTATAGGAACATTACTGATTTCGCTGATTTTGTATCCTGTTACATTGATCCTGATTATTAATTATAGTAATTTATTGGTGAAAATTTTGGGATTTTCTATGTAAAGGATCATGTCATCAGTGCATTACATTAATTTGACTACTTCCTTTCTTGTATTTACCCCTCATTTCTTTCTCTTTTGTGATTGCACTGGTCAAAATTCTGAGTAATATATTGAACAGAAGGAATGATAGTGGACATCCTTGTCTTTGTGTTCCTGATTTTAGAGGAAAGGCTTTCAGTTTTTCCCATTTAATATGATGTTGCCAGTAGGCTTGTCATAAGTGGTCTTCATCAGGTTAAGTTCCCTCTACACTGTACGTATTTCACTATTCCTATTTTCCTCAGTTTTTTTTTTTTAATGACAAATGGGTGTTGGGTTTGGTCATACATTTTCTGTGTCTATGGAGGTGCACATATGATTTTTGTGCTTGCTTCTGTATTATGTATTTTAACTTGCACAGGTTAAACTATCCTTCCACCCCCGGGATAAAATTTACTTGGTTAAGATGCACGATCTTTTAAATGATATGCTGCATTCTGTATTTCTGCATCTGTGTTTATTACAGAGATTGGTCTGCAGTTTTCACTAGTTGCTCTTTGGGTTTTCCTCAGTTGGGTCTTTAACAGCATCTTTAGTTGTACTGTTGTGGCTGCTTCAGTGTCCTGAATTTACTCAAAATGTTGATGTTTCATGGTCATTTTGACTTTGAGGAAGACCTAGAAGTTACATGGTGCCAAATAAAGTGAATAAAGAGGGAAAGCAATGTTTTTATCAAGTCTGTCTTTCTGCTGGAAGGCACTCAGCAGCAGCGTTCATTGCAATTTTTATTATCCCCTGTAACACGCACAGAAAGGACTCCAGAACTATCTCAGAAAGTGGCAAGAATAAGGGAATAAATGTGTTCAAAGTGACAGAGGGCACTGTGAGAGGAGTGGATGGCAATGTATTGTTTACTATAATACTTTTTAAAATTTAAGGGAGCTGGGGATTTAGCTCAGCGGCAAAAGCGCCTGCCTTGCAAGCAGGCAGTCCTGAGTTCGATCCCTGGTACCGAAAAAAACACACACACAAAAAAATTTAAGCATTCACTGTATATTTTGATCATACCACAGATAAATCAATAAAATAGAAAAGAACCAATAAATTTCTTTTTCTGGTGGCAGTTGGGACTGAATCTGGGCCTCATGCATGTTAAGCAAGTTTTCCACCACTGAGTCACATCCCCACCCCTTTTTTAATGTTGGGATAGGGTCCTGCTAAATTTCCCAGGCTAGTCTTGAACTTACGATCTAATCCTGCTGCCTCAGCCTCCTTCTCAAGTAGGTGTAGTTAGGTGTTTGCCAACAAAACTGATTTTAAAATATTTTTTAAAAAACAATGCATCAATGCAGTTCCTTGTGAGAAAAGAACATCTCTGTGATGCATAGTGCTAGAATAACTGAATAACTGGGTATCTGTATGGAACACCATGATCCCTGCCTTGTATCATAACAAAAATTAATTTCAAGGGGATCAGAGTCCTCTATGTAACAGCTAAAACTATAAATATACAATTTCTTGAAGAATTTCTTCAAGACGTGAAGAAAGGGAAATTTGTATGAGCATAAAACACAAAATATAAAAGCAGTAACAATGGAAATAAGTACTTCGCTGTTTTAAGAATTTCAAAAGGTCCCAAATGTGTAGCAAATTCTTGCAAAAAGACTCTATGTCAGAAAAAAAAAAAAAGCCAAAAACTAACTCCAAGAAACAAAAACTAAAACCTAGTACTCCTGTCCTAAAAAGAAACCATTACAATACTGCTGGGGTATTAGTAAGGTAGGAGTTTAGGATACAGCAAACTGCCAGGGGAAGTTGGCCTGCCCTGTTTACAGCAGAGAGTTCCAGGACACACACAAAACAGTTACCAAAGCCCTGCACTTGGAACCAATCAACGTGCAGTCTTCAGTTCCTCTACTGAGAACTCAAGCAGGTTGGCCATAGCACGGCCCAGACCTGATGTCAGCCTGCGGAGTGGGAAATACAAAAGATGGTGCCTCTTCCTCCTGGCCACTGTGCTCTCTCTTTTGCACTGATCCACTTTATCCTGCAGAGTGCATTTCTTTTCTATGTTTAATTGTCCCCACAAGCTCTGTAGAACACGCTTCTTTTCTTTTCCTATCTTCAGTAAATGAAAACCTTGCTACATTTTACCCTTGTCTCAAACAGTTTTTTGTTCAGGACAGAAAGAACCTAGAAATTACTTGTAGAAGGAGACTCCAGCATCCTAAAACTTTATAACACTAGTCAGACAGTGATCCTTCCATGTCCTTGGAAGGCGCTGGTCCTAGAACTATCATTTGGCTACCAAAATCTATACACACGCACGTCTCTTACATGACATGCTGTTGTATTTGCATAGAAACTATGCAAATCCTCCTGGGTATTTTGAACTATTATGTGTAATGCCATGTAAATATTTATTACTCTATATTATTTAAGAAATTATATATGTTCATTTCAAATGCAGAGATTTTTGATAATTTTTTTTCCTTGAGGTGGTGTGTTGCTATATAGTTCAGGCTGGCCTCAAACTCACAGCAATCTCTCTGCCTCAGCCTCCTATGTTCTGGGATTGCGAGCATGTGCCACCACTCCCAGCATCCAATCTGTTTTTAATGGTAGTGGGGACTAAACCCAGGGCCTTTGCACTGAACTATATCCCCAGCCCTGTTGGGTTTTCATTTTGAGACAGGGTCTTGCAAACCAGTTAAACTGGCCAGGTTAACCTCAAATTCTAGATCCTCCTTCCTCAGTTTCCCAAGTACTGGAATCACCGGTGTGCACTACCATACCTGGCAAGTTTCACCTCTTAATTTATCTCTGTCTCTCTCTCTCTGTCTCTGTCTCTCTCTCTCTCTCTCTCTTTGTTTCTGTGTCTGTCTGTCTGTCTGTCTGTCTGTCTCTCTCTTCTTTCTTTCTGATAGGGTCTTGCTGTGTAGCCCAGGATGGTCTTGAACTCACAATCCTTCTGCCTCAAACTTCCAAATGCTGAGACTACAAGCTTACATCATTGCATCTGCCACTTCCTATTCTCGGCCAACAATAAAGTCTTCTTCACTGCTGAACTGGCATTTAGTCTTGTTATTGGTTCCACAATTCCCAAAGGGAAAAAGGGCCCATGTGGGAGTCAGACGCTGGTAACAGATACAGACATGATACTTAAAGACGTGGTAGTTACAGTCAGAAACTGAGCTTTTCTCAGTCATAGTAGTACACACCTATAGTCCAGCCACAGGAGGGTCTACAGCAGAAGGATCTCCAGCAGAAGGATCCCTGGTGTCTGAGGTCAGCTTGGGCCACATAGTGAGTTCAAAGACAGCCTGGCTTACATAGTGAGACCCTATCTCCAAAAAAAGTTCTTGAATGAAAGAGTAAATAAGATCCAAAATGTATAATAGATACTGTGAAAGGGAAAAGGAAAGAAACTGTTCAAAAGGAAAGACAGGGGGAAAGGAGAAACTCCTGTGACTGATCAATTCCAGTCCTAGATATATGCCCCAAAAATGTGCGCATATGGTTAAAAAAAAAAAACAGAAAGACTTGTACCAGAATGTGTAAAGCAGTTTTATTCCTAGTACCAAAGCTAAAAATAGATATATAAATTATGGTCTATTTACCTAATGTTTACTGTACTGCAATATTAGATATTAACTGGTGGCACATGTAACAACTAAATTAATCTCTAAATCACTACGTTGAGGAAAAGAAGCAAGACATAAAAATGTGTGTGTGCAATCATTCCAATCACATGAAGCTCAACACAGGCAACGCCAATCTGTGGTGACAAAAGTTGTTAACCTATCTGTTAGAGATAGTGCTAACAAGAAGGAGTACAGAGAAAATTTCTGGGCTGATGAAAACACTGTGTTCTACATGTTAGCCTGGCAGTACTCACATGGACATGCTAACATATGGGCATTTTTCTCTACATACAATATTCTGTAATTATCTTCAAAATTGATTGCAAGTACAGATTCACCAATTTTTTTTTTCTTAGCTGAAGGGAATTGTAGAAATAACCTAGTTCAACTCCCTCATTTTAAGGAAAAATTAATTAGGGGTTACTTTTTGTTTGTTTGTTTGTTTGCTTGTTTGTTTTTTGTGAGGCAGTTCTTGCCATGTTGCCCAGACTAGTCTCAGGGCTCACGGAATCGTCCTACTTCAACTTCCCATGTAACTGGGAATTCAGGTCCTCACCAAAATGCACTAGATTTTGAGGCAATCCACCAAAAAGGGACTTACAGGCAGAGCAGAGACTAGAACCAATGATTCACGGTAGTCATGTTTATTCTTCCCATTAAATTGAGCCTCCAGAGCAAAGCTTTTCTCTGAAACAGTTATTTTCACTCTGATTATTTACTTTAGCTTTTCTGTGACAATTCTCAACTATATCCAAGAGAGTTTCGGGAGCTCTGCTTCTAACTAGGAATCCAGGTGAGGGTCAAGGCTGCTCTTTAATTGCTCTTCGGACTTATTATCCAATGGACTCTTGATTTGCTTCTAAGTTTACAGATGGCACCTATAAACATAAGCCCCTCAGGCTCTTGGACACAATTTAAAATAGTATGCCACTAACAGTTTGACACTTATGTCACTAAGACAAATGGAATTCCCGGCTCAGACGTAAACAACTTCTAATACTGCCCCCAACGCTGTCCACATATAATCACAGTCTCAACAACACACTATCTAAACAGTCCCGACTCATGTTAGGGATGTGGTAATAAAGGTTCAAAACAGAAAAACTTAGGGTCTTTTGGTCAAAAAATCCTGTGTAAATACATGGTACCCTAGCACAACAACAGTGGGTGGAATCCATCAATTCCTTTTTGAAGTTACTATCAAAGACCTAGACTCATGTCAGGGTCTTAGTACTTGCAATATAGAGTGCTTCCGCACGGTTTCAGTGGATGCAAGTTTATGCAGGAGCTACATCAAAAGAAACTCTCCCACCCGTTTCTCCTTGTTTGTCCCCTCTGCATCTTCATTTGGGACAATCCTTTTTTCTTCATTGTGCTGAGCTAAATTTTTCCTGATTGGTAACTTGACTTCATTTTTCTAACAGCCTATAAATATTAGAAAGAAGGATGATAAGAATATATAAATCAGAAGAGAGATATGACTGTATGTTCCTTTATAGGCAAGTCAAGTCTTTTTCCCTCTGCTCTTAATCTCTAAAATTTACTGCTGATTTTATATAGATAATAGGTGTTCAAAAGATTAGAGCTGATTTAATACACACACTTTTGTCATATCTAATAGGATCTTAACATCTGAGTTTGAATATGTTTCCCCTCTGAGGGATTGTTCACAGGTCAGCTCTGAGCCTTCTTTTAATTTCACCCTTTTCCTTAATCCTCTTACTGATCCCACACTGGCTTTGAATACCTACGGTACAAGCCTGGAGTTTTCATCACTTTATAATCACAAGGAATTTTTTTCCCATTTCTGAAACAGGGTTTTACTATATAGTGCAAGCGGTCATGAACTAGCCATGCAGCCCAGCCTGGCTTCAAATATGCACTCCTCCTGCCTCAGCTTCCTGAGTGCTTACAGGTGTGCACCCCATAAACAAAAAATAGCTTAAAAGCTATTAATTGAAAGCCACATCATTTATTCAAAGAAATGACTTTCTATTTTGAAATAACTTTATATGCTTGATAACTGAAAGTTATTTTATGAAATAACTTGAACACATCCTTTCCAAAAAAGATGAAATAGAATTTTGCAAATAAAACCTTAATTCTACTTATTGTTGCAGCGAGAAATGGTTAGAAAAAAAATGACTTGTTGAACAAGGTTTTGGCAAAAGTTCAAGACTACGATTTTAAATGCCATGGCTTTGTAATTTTTCTAGTTTTGGGATCACTGAGGTTACAGCCTCACCATGGTAAACCGAACGGTATCTCTTTACAAATCTCTTTACTTCCTACCACCAGCATCTCTGCATCTCTGATGGCTTTAAAATATGGTGGCTGAGTCTGTACAACTCAGGTTAGAATGGCAACCATGGATGCAGTGAAATAGAACCCTCAGGAATGCTCTTCCCTCAGGGCATCAGGAAAGCCTCCATAAGGTAAAAAGTAGCTCTTTAAGAAAGACTCTCCCACACAGAGCTGACTGCAAGATAACATGAAAACTGGTCAATTAATAACGTCCTGGCCACTCACCCAATCATTTCTCTCTAAAATGTATTATTTGCTTCGGGGGATAGAACCTAGGGTCCCATACGCACTAAGGATGAGCTCTACCCTTGGGCTACACCCACAATCCCAAATCAGTTTTGGCCTGATGTGCCAAGTGTAAAATAAAAAGCAGGCACCAAATGACCATATAAAATGAATCAAATAACATCAGTTTGGGATTTTAAGTTCACAATTTCTGCCAGAAAACTACTTTGATACTTGAAAAAAGCAAGGTGATTAAAAACTATACTAAACTGGATATTTTTTCATTTCTGATAATTATTTCAATTACACAACAAAAATATTAATTCTTGTATTAAGAACAACAAAAGTAACCAGGTTGGCAAATCTGTCTATATTTATTGAAATGCTTTTATATCAAGATCAGCTCTGAAGAATTCATTCTACTTATCTGTTCCAACCATCCTCCCGACTCTCATCTTCTTCCAGAATGTACAGAAACTCTGCTGTTACTACTTCTTATACCACTTATTTGCAAAATTTTTACTTCAATGGAAGTCACAAAGATGTCGCTTCTTCATGTAAACTAGTAATAAATTTGTCCTTTAAAGGAGACAGATCTGTTACAAAAGGGAAGAGGACCAATCAGAGGGAGGGAAAAGAGGGGAGAAGTGCTTTGTCCCTGTACCGACAAGGTGGACACGACCGTCAGGCACTGCAAATATGTGTGGGTAAAAATAAAAATTTAAGGAAGAAAACCAAATATGTCCCTCAGTCTCAATTGCTTTTCTTCTTTGTTGGTCAACTTTAATCCCCACAGTAAAATTACAAACCAGAACAAACGCAGGATAAACCAGATATTTACAGACTCTGATTTGATGACTCAACTACAAGTCAAAGTGCTATTAAGTTATCTAAAAGGTATATACTCCACACCTCTTGAGCAAAAATACCCATCATCAAGACACTGGAAGCTATCTTTCCACCCCTCTCCAACACCTACTCCAGGATATACTGAGAATTGAACCCAGAACCTTCACACTGAACATCTCTGTAACTTTGTAAAAAAAAAAAAATTTTTTTTTTAAAATTTTGAGACAGGGTCTCACTAAGTTGCTTTAAGTGCTCAGGTGGGATCAAACTCATAATGCTCTCACCTCAGCTTCCCGCTGTGCTGAGATTATGGGTGTGTACCACTGCATCTGGACTTGTTCTGCATTTTCTTTAGAAGTCCTATACCTTTAAAACATAAGGATATATGTTATAAGGTATAAAAATCAGGACATACTGTGGGCCAGGGATTTAGCTCAGAGGCATAAAGCGCTGGCAATCATGAGGTTGTGAGTTCGATCCCAGGTACAAAAAAAAAAAAAAGGACAAATGTTATAAGATATAATAAGAAGTTCTCAGATAAACAACAAAAAGAATGTTTGGTGTGAGGGGGAGGGGTTAAGAAATGAACCCAATGGTTTATCTAAAAATGTCATTTTGACTCAAAGATACCGTTTTTAATTAGTTAGATATGAAGTAATTGAGCAACTGCCTTAGGCCCATTTATTCTAGGTAACCTCTATCTTCACATAAAATCCTATTTTCATAATGGTCTTAGCCCAGAGAACATTTCATGATAACCCAACCCCTAAATTTTAAGTAGCACAGCATTTTTTGCACAATCAAAGTTAAGAGGAAACAGATGTTAATAATAACCAGATATAGCGGTGCACACCTATAATCCTAGCACTCAGGAGGCTGAGGCAGGAGGATGACTGAAGTTCAAGGACAGTCCAGGTTCAAAGCCAGCCTAAAATACATAGTGAGGCCCTGTGTTAAAAAAAAATAAGAACTAAAGCAAGAAGAAAAAATTCAGATGATACAGTTATAAGAATAATGAATAACATCTACTCCTCAAGCACATATAGAACTTCTGAAAAACTAAAATGAATATACTTAAATAGATAGTAAGGAGATAGACCATGTTACCTAAGACATAGAATTTACCCTGTGTTTAAATCACTGAAGTTAATAAATTAAAAGTGCATATTTTAGAGAATATGCTTCCATGTGAAAGTGAGGCAGAGATTACTAGGTGATTAAGAAATTCTGAAAAAAATTTTTTGTCAGAATAGTACAATTCCTGGGTAATCTCTTGGTTTAAACAGACCAATACTGACAGATTAACACATAGACACCTGAAATAGAAACTCTAGTCCCAACGTTTAAATAAAGTATTTTCGCTTGGAGAAATGTTCTATGAAAAGACGTAAGTGCATCACATTAAATTTTATCTATGTGCCTCTGAAAAGTAATTACATGAAAAATGATTATACCAGACACAAAACTGACAGGTGACACAAAAGAAGAGTTGTCCTTTATAGGGGCATCTATAATATATGCCATTGAACAATCTAAAACACAGGACATAAAGTTGTATGAAATGCTGGCGAGTAATACAAAATAATGAAGTCCAATAAAGGAGACACTAACGCTGGTGACCCTTTCTAAGCAACAGGCAACCAAAGCCTAAGCGCCTTTCTAGTATAGAGTAGACTCCAATGTATAATGCTAGAAACACTTCCCGGTTCAAGAGCAATTATAGTATTTAGATTCTAAGTCTAAAATAGAATTTTTCCCATCAACTTATTTCCATAAAGAACTCAAATCATTTTGGCTTGAATTGTTAAACATCAAAAGGGACACGCTTCTGGAAATAACAGTCATTCTGTTAGAAAACATATATGAAGGTCCCATAATAAAACACTATTCATTCAGAAAGTGTGCTGGAGAACATATTCTCCTCATTCAAAAGGGATCCAAACCATCTGAGAGGTACTTGAAGACAGAGTTATTCATAAAAGTCCAATTCCTCATCTATGAGGTATCCTTAGCTCAAAGCTTAAGAAAGCAGCACACACATTTTAGTTTCTGGCTGTTTCTCAGAAAAGAACCGTAGCTTTCTGGAAGGAAAATAGGCCTAGAAGAAATAATAATAGAGCTTACCCACCAAAAATTCCTTTCTCTACTCAAAAGATCAGCACTGTCGGGCAGAGGCCAAAGACCTCAGAGCAATATCCTAGAAACTCCAGGGATGTGTCGCTAATATAAATGTAAACAGACAGAGGGCAAAGGTCCAATTTACTACTCAAAAATTAACTTTAAAATTTTTTGCAGCAGAGATAAAGAAAACTATGGATGCAGCAGTTTACTAGAGTTTCTCCTTAACAACTCTAAAATGTTGTATAATAATATGGACTATTAATATGGACTTCAAAAAATAGTACTGAATATGCCAATTTTCAAAAACACGTGGTAACTGCTTTGGTAACATACATTCCAGGTGACTGGTCACTTGACAGTAAAACATTAGTAATATAGTAGTTTAAGAATGTTTTAAAAGTCATCAAGGACTACTCTTGTAATCTTGAATAAAAGACTTCAGGTCTTAAAATATGTAACATTTCCAGGAATATAAATGATAATTGCGGACCCGCACACTTCATTAGCACTCAGATTGAAACTATCAAAAGTTATCTACCCTTCTCAATATCCTACTCAATGTAAGGAAGCAAGGTTACACACTCCACATTTCTGAGTTTGTTTCTAGTCAACAACCATGTTTGCCAAGTTAAAGCAGAGAAATAAGAATGAGTCCACTAAAGAAATCATCTGTAGTAAAAATTAAGGTGCAGCCCTAGATATAGGCAGCTCAGAAAGACATGAGGCATAATCCCCTGACCAACAAATCAGAAAGCTAAGACAATGTAAGTTTTGAAACTTAAAAATACATAGAGAGACACAGTCAGAAACAACAGGTTTGGCCTTTTAAAAGTGACCTTTACAAATCAGTTCTGTGATGGTTCCCATTTTCTTTCACAGTTTAGCCTCAATCAAATCAGCAGTCTCCAGGGATTTTGAAATCGCCATGGATTAAAATCCTGTCTGACTCAACTGTTTGACTAATGCTGAGTATTTAATAATTCTACTTGTGACAGACTTTTTGGACAAAATCCTGCTGCATGCTATCTTCAGATGTTCTGCAGCTGTACCACGATGCAAGTCATCACTGTCCTTATTTTCTTTATCACTCATCTTAAAGACGAGAAAATGTATTATTACCAGCAGCTCTATTATGCAGCAGGCTTCACTGGAAACGTTTTTAAGACAGCAACCAGCATGTAAAAAGGTACAGGTTTCCTTCGAAGTACTAATGATACATATTCATAGTTCAATGCCAAGGATAGAAAATTAATAACTGTGATAGATAGACCCAAATTAACTTAATGAATTTCTGAACTTTATGCTTTCGATAATAAAACCATTCAAGCTAAAGCATTTGGACCTTCTCTACATCCATAGATCAGGCACTTTGATACTCAACAGGTTGAGTAAATTGAATCCATATATTGTATTTACGTTCTCTGTCAAAGTTGCTTCTCTACATTTCAGTGATCAAAGGAAAAACAGTCATCAACCCTGTAGCCTTCAATACTATACTCATTACATTTAATCAAGTGCCAACTCCACCGCATCATTCACCAGCCTTAAGAATGTTTAAATACATGGCACTGTCTAGTAACAAACACAGACATAGTACTACCTTAAAATACACAACCCCTGAACAAAACAATGAACTGAAAAGGAAGGTAAATGAATATCACTCTCTCAGTGTGCAAGAAAATAAATTTTAAAATGCACAGAAATGCTCAACAAACATTTGGGAGGAGGTTTTCTACCTGAGGCAGCATCAATCACTGTAGAAACTCCCCTTCGGTCAGAGACTGGACGCGATGACCCTGGCATGCTGACTGGGTCAGAGCGGACTGGCTGGATCCTGCAATGCAATTTAATTTAATTCACATATGTTACTGGCATGAAAACTACTGCTTGCTACAACAGACCTTAAATCAGGCATGTTGGAATACTCAATCCATTAAAGAACCATTCATTCTAAAACCAGACAAAAAAGGAACTGTAGTCCCTAATTCTTGCACACAGTTAAAGCACTACATTTTTTTCACTCCAGACTCCTTCTAGCTTATTTCTTAATGTTTTTCAATACATTTTTAAGTAAGGGCTTGAAAAGCTGACAATTTAAAGAGAAAAAATAAGTGGAGTGGGAAAGGAAACTATAATGAAGACCTTTGGAATTTACAAGGAACACATATGAAGGATTGTGAGATTTCAAATTAATAAATGGCATGATAGCCAGCAATGAAGTTGATAAAAGGCAGAAATGTATGATTCAACATTTTAAGAAATTTTCTTATACACACCAATGCAAGTTGGTTTATATATAACAGTAAGTATGGGAAAACAAAGCTGTGTTTTGGGTGTCAGGATTTACTGAGGATCACTAATGACTGGTTACCCCAATAAAACTACCAATTAGAATAAGACTCAGTTTAGACTTCAGCAAAACTGCCATTTATCATATACACGTAATTTCAAGTAGCTTACAAACAACATGTAGGTTGAGGATGTAGCTCAGTGGTAGAGTGTTTGCCTAGCAGGCACAAGGCCCTGAGTTCAATCCCAACACCATCAAAACAAACAAAACAAAAAGAAGAATTAACATACAAATGGATGGATTTCTTTCCAGCTGCAGTAGGATAAATACTGTACTACTAACATAAAAATATGTGTATGATTAAAATGTCTTGGCATCCAAGGCAATTTCCAGAAACAAAATCTTGTGAGAAATATGTATCACATGCATTTTGGGTAATTAATTCATATGATAAATGTTAACTGTATACCAACATTATTTTGTGAACAAGTAGAAACAAAAGATGAGATACAAGGTCCGTACAGAAACATATGACATAGCGCATAGGAATTCATGAACTGTTGCCTAAGAAAATTAAAGTTCAGAATGAGAAGATACTATAAAAATTAAGACCTCAGAACAAATGAGAGGATGCAGTCATACAGTGCATTAACTGTTTATGGGTCAACATTAGACTGGGGGACAGGTAAGATTATATTGCCTGGAGATGTAACCATCTTAGTTTGTGTGAGTATAAAACATGTGCTCACACAGTGACAAATTGGTCAAATGATTTCTCCTTAAGCATCACATGACTGTGTATTTATGGTCCACATTAGATAGAGAAGATCTTATGGACCTGGAACAGGAATTGTGTCTGTTATAGTACAGTTAGTCCTCCATACCTGTGATTTCAGATTCTGTGATGGAGCCAAAATTGGACCGAAAATATTAAAAAATAAGCAGTATCTCTTTTGAACATGAATAAACATTTTTCTTGTCATTATTCCCTAACCATCAAACATTTTACAAAACATTTACATTGTATTAGGTACTATAATCTTCTAGAGATGATTTCAAAAATGTTCAACAGCTATACACAAATATTACACCCGAATACGAGGACTAGCCCAATCCCCTGTGAGAGAAACCACTGTAATAGGATCCATATAGATGATGAAGAAGAGCAAGAAGTGTCCTTTAGGTACAGGCTTAGTATAAGCAAAGTCAGGTTTGGGACTGGGTAGGGAGGCCTAAAAGCAATGATTTGGCTGAAGTACACAGTGTGTACACACTACTGGTGGGGGAAAAGATTTCGGTAACAAATGTGAAAGAGAATGTACAACTCTAAAATGCCAAATACTATTTGCAGATTTTGAATATATATATTTTTTTGTGGGGGAAAGAAATGAAAGCAAGGAAAAGGATGATGCCCTTCACCTATATGTCAAAAGTACTGATATACAAATATTAATCATAACTATAGATAGTATGCAATATTCTCCTTCAGTTTGCTTTGCTAAAGTAGCTTGACAAGCCCATCATAGTGTAGCAATGGTTCCTTAGTTCTAGGATAGGCGAGCCTAAGCAAACGTGATCAGTAAAAAAATGTAGCCTTAGCTTCTGGAAAACAAGTGTTTTGTTCTTCAGAATAAGAAGCTAGTCTGTTAATTACATTCATCAAAAGTAAATCTCCCTTCTGATTTAAACTGGTTATGTAGGCTAATATATTTCCCACTTAACTTATACTGGGTTTCTGAACTATCCAGAGTTGGAATAGGGATAAAGATTGGCCATGAGTTGATGTGTTGAAGATGGTCAGACAACAAACATGGGGTTTTTCCCTATTATTCATTTTAATTGTGGGAGAGGAATGGGAGGGCAAAGAGAAATATAGAGTTAAATGTGTTACAAACATGTACTAGCTCCCCACATGAATGTAATCAATATACACTGCAAACTTGTACTAATACAAACTTTAAAAATAAAATTCTTTGGTAATTAAAAATTGAACTGGTGGAAACGATGGAACTATCCTAGAATTAGTAGGGATGGATGTAATTCTGGAAATATACTAAAGCCAGTACACTGTCAGCCCCTCCCTCTTTCTGCTGGGATCAAGCCAAGACCTCAACCACTGAGGCACGCACCCAAATCCTATATGGTAACACTTTAACATTGGTGAGTTTTATGTTATCTGAATTATATATCCGTTAAAATAAACAAAATACATTGCTACCAACTTTTGAAGAGCAGAGAGGAATATATAGTCAGATTCTTTTACACTGCACATTTTCACTGAATTGTACATTTTTATATTCACTGAATTGTATATATTGTATTTCATTAATTTTTTTTCTTTTTTGAGACAAGGTCTCCTATATCGTTCAGGCTGGCCTTGAACTCACTGCATAGCCCAGTGGGCCTTGAACTTGTGGTGATCCTCTCTGCCTTGGCCTCCTGAGTGCTGGCATTACAGGTATGAGCCACCACATGCAGCTTCACTGCACTTTTTTTTTTTAACATTTTAAATCACTGCTCTACATGAAGAACTGTCACGAGGCAGTTCCTATACAGAGGACAGTCAATTCAATATGAGCCTATTCCCACTTGTAGTTACGTATACTATGATGCACGGTATATTTTCAGGGATATTTTATGGGCACAGGCCAGTAACTACTGATCAGTTTAGATAAAAGCTGAAAGAAGAACCTGACAGTTAAAAGAGAGTAAGGTCAGTGTCCTGCCATAGACTTGAAGGAATGAGCATATTTTACAGAAGAGAAACTGGAATTGAGTGATAGCAAACTGCAGAATTTAAATAATTGGATTTCTAATTGGATGCTGACTGGGAAATGATACTACACAGGGCAATTAAAATTGATGTGAGTCACAACCTAATTTCTCATAACTGTGTTATTATGGATTATAATCTTAACCAAGATTCTAACCAAGTCAAATTTTGATATATAAATTACAAAAGCAATCAAAATAAATTTATAAACATTGACCAATGTAGTTGTTTGTAACATCCAATGAATAGGACAATATTTTAATCAAACATAAATAAATTAGTCATATAAATGAAACAATACTAGTTCTGAAATCCCTGAGGAAGTTCTGAAGAATGTTGGAAATATAGCTGCACCTAAAGAGGCACATTAGCTGAAGCAGGCCACAAAACACACAGTCAAAGCCGTATGTATACACAGAAGCTGGAGATATCTTTCAAAGAAAAAAGATCAGGTCTTAGAAGAGCAGCTGATGGCAGCCACCAGGAAGAACGTGGCAAGGTCTCAGGCATTTACCAGCAAAGCAAACAAATAGGTTACGTAGCTGTAAAAACAAACATGGGCTACCGACTTCATAAGCTTTATTATCAGCATTTAACTCACCAACTGACTGCTGCACACATGAATGACTACATAGTGAATTACTAAGTTAAAAAGGGCTGCCCAGATGAAACTCCCTGGGAAGGGCTTGACTACCTAATCTAGACCATACTTTATAAATAATAGCACTGAAAATTGGTGTAGCACCCACGGTGCTGTCATTGTTGTCTGACATCCTGGGAGAAAAGTGCTATTTCTAGAAAGCTGAAAATAATATGTTTGTACAAAAAAAGCAAAAATACAGAGAACAACAAAAACACAAAACAAACTAAAACTATACCGCAAAATGGACTCTAAATAAGAATGTAAGGCAAGTTCCTCTTTAGGAATGATTATTTAAGAAGATATATTGGTTGGGAGAGATGTAAAAGGGGAGATAAATTAGGAGCATAGTGATGAGGTATAGTTTCTAGGGTGTCAGCAGTGGGACTAGGGGCACATTTTGAATATATTTTGGAGTTGAAATGACCTAACTTGAAGAATGAAGTATGACTAGTAAAAAAAAGAAATCAATAATAACCCCTAGATTCCAGCTTGAGGGCCAAGGGATTTGAGGAATCAACTAAAGTGATGGGAAAGGACAGAGGAACAATAGGATTACAGGGTGAGAGAAAGAGCTGCAACCCAGACGTGTTAAGACAGCAGAGGACCTGGACAGCACCAAGAAGGAAAATAAGCGGCTGGCTACACTCACAGTATAACCCCTAGCACTTACTTGAGTACCTGGAGGTCGTCAGCAATAAAAAGAGAACAAAAAACCAAAATAAAACAAACAAGCAAAAGAAACAGGCCTTGCAACAACTTTGGTTTTATTATGAAATTTTCTTATTACTGTTGACAAAGGGATACATAAAAACATACTTCTCAAATGTGGTTGGAATATATACTTGCCTATTATTTTAAATACATGAAAGCAGGAGGTAAAATGGTTGGTTTATATTTCATATGTAGATACTTGGGAGGTGGTGCAGGGGCTCAAACTCAGGTCCTTGAGTATATTATACAAATACTATACCGAGGAGTTACATCCTCTGCCCTGGAATATTTTTTAAGAGACGATAAGGAAAAGTAGATTATACTGCGTTAGACTGAGGCCTTCATCACTGCCTGCACATTAAGTTGTTGGTGTAACAAATGAAAGTGCTAACCAAACATGAGACTGCAAAAGTAAAAAAAAAAAAAAAAAAAAAAAAAACTCCTTAATTGCATTATGATTCTGGCAAGTAAGGCGTATCAGAGTATACATACATTATGAAAATATAAACAACAAATTATAAATGAATGAATAATAACACTTTCTCATACAAACCTTTTCTTTTTAGTAATTTAAGAGAAGGAGTAAGCAGGATTATATGAAAATCACAGATGAAATTTAACTATAAGGTAATATTAACTTCAAAAAGATCAGGAAAAGAAGATATAATCAGATTTCAAGCATTTAGAATCTAAAATCAAAAACACCATAAACTGAGATGGCTTTCAAAATTGTATTAGATTTATGGCAGATCTCTATCATCACAGATCTCTAGAAGACCGAGGCAGAGGACTCAAAGTTCAAGCCCTGCCTGGGAAATTATTTTTTTATTTTTATTTTTTGAGACAAGGTCTCACTATGTAGTTCAGGCTGTCCTTGAGCTCACTTTGTAGCTCAAGATGGCCTCAAATTGACAGTGATCTTCCTGCCTCAGCCTCCCGAGTGCTAGGATTACAGGTATGTACCACCACACTCAGCTCAGCCTGGGCAATTTAGAGGCAATGAATTACATACAGTAACATGTAATTGGCAACACAATGAAACGTAAATATGGCATGTGAAGTTCATTTCATATATATATATATATATATATATCTGTCATTCAAATAACTCTCCCATTTGTGTTTCTTACCTGAGACTGTTGAGATCAAGGTCATCTGTATCAAAATCCAAAAGAGGCTGTGGAGTGTCACTTGGCCCATGAGACTGCAACACAGATGAACTGGATGATATGACTGTGGTTTGGCCAGAAGGGTGGATGATTTTAAACTGAAACTGTGGGCCCATCCACAGACGTCTGTGGGGTCCAGTGTGTGTTACAATTTCGACCTGGAAGAGTTAGAATCATGATTTAAATATTATGACCTCCTTTTGAGAACTTTCATAATTCCTCATCCCATCTTTAGCACTCATATTCTCCAAGAAGTATGTAGTAATGAAATGTGAAAGGGTCAAAACACCCACAATCAAAGGTGTTCATAATCACAGACTATACAGATAATCACTGTTTCTCTTATGTAAGTATACATAAATAGATGCCACATGCACATGAAGTATACAACACACGTGAAAATAAAAGGACTGGATGCCTGCCTCATATCACTACATCTGCTCCCGAGGTACTACTCTTTTATTTAAGACAGTACTTACCACACTGTGAGCATACACTTAATACTACACCTATTAATTCACAAATTTAAAGTAATTATTTCAGTAAGGATCAAGCTCATGAAAAAAATCAATTTCTTCTAGAGATATTCAAGGAAAGAAAACATCTAAAACTAACCTTCATATTTGTTATGAATTAAAAACTGGTGGTCAACCTAACACTAGCTGAATTAAATCAGTGTGGTTGGTTCTGAGTGTAGATGGCCCACCTGAAGAAAGTTGCCAGCATAAATAGAGATGTGGAGAAAAACTAGGTGCCGTGGGTTCTCCTAAGTGTTGCTGTTTTGAGCTGTTGGTTCTGCTGGAAGAGTTTGTCATGACTACCTTCTCCAATATGAGTTTGGCCATTATCATCAGAGGAGCTCGGGACCTTGTTGGTGACAGTGGCTGTGGTTTACTTTGGGGGAGCTCTGCTCCTTACATTGAGCATCACTTCCTAGCTCCAGAGGGGAAGATGTGTGCTGTTTAATCTCCAGGAGAAGTGTCACGCTGACTTCCTGGCATGTACTCAACTGTTCTCATCACTGCAGGAGCTCGGGACCTCCTTGTCACTGAGGATGGCTATAGTACTTTTCAGGGCAGCCCTGGTCCTTATCTTGAGCATGACTTCTCAGCTCTAGTGTAGAACCCTCACTCTACTGGCACAGCTCTTTCACCCCACTGGCATAGATTTTCTAGCTTCCACCATTGACCTTTGGGCAGATCCGTAAAACAGACTGGCGGGAGTCCTTGTTGTGGGCTCTAGACCTACAGATGGACTTATGGGAGGCATTGTCATGGGCTCTAGGTCTTTATCTGGACTCATGCAGGACATAGCTGCGGAATCCAGGCCCTTGGCCGAATATTCTGGGTCTATAGTGTTGTTTTTTTTGGTCTTTTTCGTTTTTATTGGTACCAGGGATCGAACTCACGACTGCCTGCTTGCAAGGCAGGCGCTTATGCCGCTGAGCTAAATCCCCAGCCCCCGGTCTATAGTGTTATGGATAGATTTCCTGTACTTTCTTATGTTTAACTCTGGGCAACCATCATAAAATAATATTATACATCCCGTGTTCTGATTGTAATTGTTCTCCTCACAACTCCTCACTACAATATTCAAAGTCAGTTTCTTTCTACAATTCAATATTACAATAGTTGCATTGTATTCAATATCTCCAAAAATCTGCTTTTGAAGGAAGAAATTATTTTTTCTCAAACTAGATGTTTTTCTTCTCAAAATACTGTTGAGTATTTTTACAATGGGTACAAACTTTGACACAGCATTTTATGTCTAGCAAAGCAACACTACAAAACTGCTTTAAAAATTTTATGCTCTATGGAAGGGGTTGGGAGTGTTCCCAATATCATATTAAACATTGTAAAAAAATGGAGATAGTAGAGGAATATAGGGTAAAATCTGAAAATGGACACATCTCATGATTTTACAAATAATCAACTAGAATAGGAGACAAAATATACAAGCCTTTGGTGGAAAACTACTATATTTCTTAGAAATTAGTCTTTGCTATAGCTTTGTCTGTGCATTTTATGGAATTGACCTCCCATGTGCCTTGAGTCTTTGCTCTGATTCTTTTATATTTAATCTCATTTCTCTGATGGCAGCGATTAATTCTTAACAAAACATAACTGAAATGGTTCACAGAGTGTAGTTCTGTGTTTCTAAGTCTGAAAGGGCAAAAGCATCATGGTCTTGGAACAGTATTCACATTCCCACTAATTACAGGGAGAAAAACACTCAGATTGAGGACAGTGATTTCTGATTCAAGTGGTTGTATTCAGCAATGTAAATTAGGCCACAGATAAAGTGTTCTGTGTATTTTAAGCTCAAAACCATCAGTGTCACAGAGCCGAGAGGTAAACAGATGCCTGTGCAATTTCACTGAGGCAATGGCCAGATGTTTCTGTATTCACTCTCCTGTTATGTGCAGGACAAACACACCGTATATACTTTCACACTGACAGCACACATTATTTTTTCTTCTAATTGAAAAATTGAAGTGAAGGACAGTAGAATCTTTGCCAGCATACTTGGGCAAAATTTTAATTTTGAAAAAAGTATAAGAAAGGATGAACCTCCATCTGACAGGATCTGAAGCTTTACTGAAGAGCTTCCCAGGAGTATTTGTGTTGTGATAAAATAAAAACATGCTACCTAGAAAATATTTAATTCTCCAATTTCCAGATCTACTTCATTTTCTCAGGCAAGTCCCCCTAAGAAGGCAATGAAACGAAAAAGGGGCTCCACTTTTTCTGAGGCACCTGTCTGAGATAAACTGCCAGCTCGGTAACCTGAGACAGGTCATTAACTTCATCAAATGATGTCAGACTTGCGGCAGACATAACAGCACTGGTAATGAAGTCATTTTTAATCTCACTGCTTTGAAATGTGCCCAAGTATCTTTTATTACACAGCTCTTCGGATGAAGACGGCTTCACCTGACAAGGTGAGGACCAGTCAGTTAAAGCTGTTATGGGACTGCCTAAAGACCGCTCAGTCAGGGGAGGAACTCAGTCATGCGCCACCAGAACTTGTGCCCAGTACAGTGCTGACTTTGCACAGCAAAAGTATGAGCCCATCTTCAGAAACTGGTGGTTCCAAGAACAAATTCCAGTATTGCTGAATGGCAACAATGTTTTAAAAAAGGGAAAATCTTGCTTTAAAACTGAAGTAAATGTATTTTTAAAAGAGTCTGCTGTCTAAAATCCAACATCTCAAGGACTTTAAATGGGTTGTTTCAAAGAGATGCATTTTATGCCCATTATATTATAACTAGTATAATAGATGTGTGAATAAAAGTATTTAAATAATATATGTATGTGTAAAATACACGTGTATATTTGCAACATTTCCAAGAAAGTCTTAATATAGATATAGATAACTGATTAATCTTTTTGTTGTTGTTGTTGTTGTTGTTGTTGTTGTTTTGAGACAGGGTCTCGCTATGCAGTTTAGGCTGGCCTTGAGCTCACTTTGTAGTCCAAGCTGATCTCAAACTCACAATGATCCTCCTACCTCAGCCTCCCAATTAATCTTTACTTAACAAAAAGTTACCAGTTCCTCCCTATTCTCCTCTAAGAAAAAGAATAAAAATGAATAAGGAGTTTCTGTTTACTTTTCTATTAATATCGCAAATATATTAGAATTATTACCTGCGAAAGCCATTCTTCATCTTCCTGTCCACTATGGTCAGAGGCTAAGCTGTCATAGGACCCATGTCGAGTAATGGGCCCAGGACTTCCAGGGGGTGCCACTAAAAGGAAAATAAAATAGATTTAAACCATTTTAATTAATGCAGTAAACAAGTGGATGTGAACACCTCAAATACCGTGGTGATCTATAAGACAAAATGTGACACTAAAGAACAGAGACCATTCAGACAATTAATAAAGAAATATGACTAAAGTCCTTATGAGCATAAGAAAGATCCCCAATTAAAAGCATCCTTTAAATACTACCTCCAAGGCTAGCCAGGAGTGGCAGTACATTCCTAGAGCCACAGCTATTTGGAAAGATAAGGTACCAGCATCACTTGTGTCTAGGAGCTGGAGACCATCCTAGACAAAGCAATAAGACTGTTATTTCAAAACCAAACAAAAAAAAAAAAAACTGACAGGACTTTGGTAAAGACATCTTATCACTACAAAAGAAATAAACGACTGCATGTTAACACCAAAAGTACATGAAGAAACAGCTGACAAATTCACTGGGGGATTAAAAGACTATCCAATATTTTCACGTGAATGATAGGCATAAAATATTTAACTGAAAAACATTGTCAGTTGCTAAAAATTTTCCATTTATCAAAAAAAAAAAAAAAGCCAGTTCTTGGGTATATCAGTACTGTTCCTGATTCTTAAGGGGTATGATACAAACATTCTACTTTCACATACAAATATTAGCCAAATATTATGTCTTCAAAATCTTAGCATCCTCTTTGGATGTATACACTATCTATATATCTACCACCTGCCTACCTATCTCTGAGTAATATTTTATTTTCTATAGCAGTATTATGTTCACAACAGAACTCAATATACTCTTCATATACTATTTCCTATTTTTACACTCAGAAGAAATCAAGCAGTAGAGTAACATGGGAATACAGAAAAGGAAAAAAAAGCCAAATGAGGAAGAAGAGGAAACAAAAAGAAATGGGTGGAAAAGAGAAGAATGAGAAAAAGAAAACAACATAATTTCCACAGTGGTGAGATAATTGTATATATATTTACATTCAAATTTTCTTACACTAGGTTCCTAAAATGAAAGAGGATGTGAACATTCAAAACAACTGTAATACACATTCCCAGAAAGAGCTGGCTGTACACATGCATGAGCAGAACAGGAGAATGCCCACCTTACTGCATTCTTGTCAGAACAAGGTATTTAGAAGAACTGTATCTTAGTGAAACAGACCCAAATGAAATAGAGAATGGCCTATGGGAAAATCTGAAAAGCATACACTTACAAAAAAGGTTATCTTCATTTGCTACAGGAAGAGAAACGGGACCTAATGAATGCAATTGCTCAACAGAAATGTATATATAAAGCATAGGAGTGTAAGATCTGTAGTGATTAAAACTGCTAGCCACAAGTTCCTCAAAGCCATAGTTCTGGAGATCAAAAGCATGCTGGTATTGGTACAAAAAACTAATGAACACAAAGGCATGCACCTAAATTTTGTTGCTGGTGTGTTCATAAAGAATACCATAGTGTGTTGGAGCCACTGAAGCTGAATACACGTGCAGGGCTGTGGCATGGCCTGGGCATGGCTGAACTGATAATGAGAAGAGGCCTCAGGGGGCAAGACAGGCCACAGCTGACCCCTGCAGGACCCCTGCAGACTTTCTCCTAGGATCGTTCTCCTCAATTAGCATCGTCTGTTGCTTGGAGGGGTCTCTGAACCCCTCCCAAGGTGCTACTCAGGTTTCCTGCCTTTTCCACTTTAATTCCTTCCTTATTTGAATACTAAATAAATATGGTGTGCCCAGTGACACTGTCTGTCTCAGCCACCAGAGTTAAGAACTCTGCAGAGGATTTCAGTCCTCTTGGATCCCTAAAGATCATACCACTTGTCTCATTCATTTGGGCCTTCACGATGCACTCATTTGGGAGATTGGGGATCTAGGCACAGATCGCAATGGCTGGCGCTCAAACAGAGGCTCAACGTGGAGACATCTGCTGTGGAGGGTGGCTTCCTTCGCTGTGTTCCTGGGGTCGAACAAGGCCCTCGATGCATGTCTACTTCATTTTCTGCAAAAAAATCCCTGGGCAAGTCATGGGGAATTCCCTGTCTGAAGCGCAGCAGAAAATAGGATAGAGCTGCTTTTCTTAAGAAGGTGGGCCGTGTTACCCTAAGCTTATTCTCAAATGGCTCAAATTGCTTTAAAAGCTTGGAAAAGAATCCCTGATGCAACTGACATTCAAGGTTTTGTTAGTACTATTAAATAGGAGGCCACTGAATCTTTCCTTACCTTTTAGATACATCAAATAAACTATTAGCTGAACCTATCCATTTGGAAATGCCTGTTACTGTCTGTAAGATTCCTACTGCTTTTCATGGTCCTTTACCTCCTGGGACAACTGGCCTAGTTCTTCCCCACTCACATGAAACAAAAAGAGGAATTTTTGTGATTCCCAGCCTTACTGATGCTGATTATTCTGGAATATTGTTGCTTCAACTGTGGTCTCTCTTGCCCATTCAACTAAATCTATGGCTCCACTGATTGCCTTGCCTTATGTCTCCTCTAAAGCTCGTGACGTTGCTCATGGAAATCAAGGGTTTGGCTCTATTGTGGTGGCTACTGCTGAACACCCAGGCCTCCCTTTAAGTATTGACAACATTTCCTTGTCAGGTTTGCTAGACACTGGAGCTGATGTTTCTGTTTTTCCTCAGTTACACCAGCCTTCTCATTTTTCACTGGTTCATCCCTTGTGGGGCATCAAAGGCTCTTCCCACAGTGTGTTCCACAGTGACACCCCTGTTGCTTGTACTCACAATGGACAAAAGAAGCCTTCATTCACCCATATATTATAGACATTCCTTTTGTGATATGGGGCTGTCATGTTCTTTCTCAACTCCACGCTTATGTGGAAACAAATTTATCCTAAGGGCCTCCACTGTTCCTCATGCTCAACTTCTCAAATGGAAAAATGATCATCGGGTTTGGGTCAAACAATGGCCTTTACCTAAACATACACTGTCCACGGCGGAGGCCTTAATTCAAGAACAATTGGCTGCAGGTTATATTGACCCCTTGCTAGCCCCTAAAATATGCCTATCTTCACTACACAACAGAAATCAGGCAAATGGAAGTCATTGCATGATCTCTGGGAAATCAGTAAGTATCAGTCCCTAAAGGGCCCCTTGCAATGTGGTCTTCCTAATCCTCACTTTATTCCTTATGAATCTCAACTTTTTATTGTTGATTTAAGACTGTTTCTTCACTACTCCCTCGTTTTGCATTCATTGTTCCAGTCTATAACAATCATAAGCCTATACACAGGTACCACTGGTGTACGCTACCTCAAGGGATGATAAATAGTCCATCCCTCTGGCAATACTTTGTTGATACTGTCTGCTTACCTTTAGAAAAGGCTTCCCTAATTTACAAGTCTATCATTACATGGATGACATTCTTGTGGCTGAATCCCTCCATTCTCCATGATCTCTCCTCCTATTTAGCCGAATTTGGGCTTCATATCGTCCCAGAAAAAGTTCAGTGCTCTGAACCATTTTCTTTTTCCTTTTTTTTTTTTTTTTTAATCAGTACCGGGGATTGAACTCACGACTGCCTGCTTACAAGGCAGGCGCTTATGCCGCTGAGCTAAATCCCCAGCCCCATGAACCATTTTCTTATTTAGGTCATTCACTTCTTTGCTTGTCTTCGATGCCTGCCTTACCTATCTTGTGCTTCTGCTTTACACTTTCTAAACCACAACAACTTCTAGGCCACCTTAATTGGGCAAGGCCCTATTTTCCATTGACCAGCCAACGATTAGCTCCTCTGTACGATGCCTTACGGGGTCACACAGATCCTGCTGATGTAATGATCTCTGACTCCTTCTTTACAGCAGGCCCTTCAGAGCATCGCTCACACACTCACTACAGTTATGGTGGATCAAGTCCCGAAGGACTGCCCTCTTTCCTTACTCATTTTTCACTTAGCCCCTTTGCCCAGTGAGGTTCTTATTGTCATCTAGAGCAACAAGGTATTTATTGTTGAATGGTTACATTTGCCTCACTCACCTGGCAGCACCGTATTTCCCATTACCCAATGTCTTTACCTTCCTAACAGTAAATTCTAAATTTGTAAGAGAAGAGATCTCTGCTAATTGACCTACAACAATTCTGACTAGTCAATTTATAGTTATAAATTCTAAATTTCTAAGAAATTAATGTAGGGCCAGGGATTTAGCTCAGCGTCATAAGTGCCTGCCTTGCAAGCACATGGTCGTGAGCTCAATCCCTGGTACCAGTAAAAAAAAAAAAAAAAGAAATTACTGTAATTCAATTTGGTTAAAAATATTTGAGTGCACTCTGATTTTGTAAGATGTTTGTCAGTCTGTCCATGTATCTGTTGTCTGTCTGTCCAGTCTGTTTGTAAGCAGTTGTTGAGAGTTGCTGAGCTAGTGATCATTCACACATGTGGAGCAGAAAGCACAAGTGCCCTACAAGAGTACCCAGACGGCACAGAGCACCTGGGTGCTGGAGGTGAACAGGTGCTCCAGCACGGATAGCATGGGGTGTAGGAGGTGAGCTAGTCCAGCAAAGGGACGCGGTACCAGTACATAAATGGCCCCTGGGGAACTTCAGAGTTCCCATAGACTCCAACAGGCTGTGTACTTGTTTCTATGTCTGTTTGAATCTGTACAGATTGTCTGTCCGTGTTTGTCCACTTGTCCACTCTAAGAATAGCTGTGTTCCTTTTATTTTGAGATCAATAATTTTTCTCTTTTTTCATTTTTCTTTTACATTTTTGGATCATTTTGATTGAAGACTTGAGTTTGGATTTACAAAGATTTACCTCACTCACCTGGCAGCACTTTATTTCCCATTGGTTTCCAGCTGGTCTAAATGATGGAAATACTGGGTATATAAGTGTAACATATTGTTGTTTATTATGGATTTGAGAGTCTCATTGTTATTACTGGGCTTTTCGTTACTCATTTTACAAAAGAGTATTTTAGTAAGATGAGTAAACAAAATCCCTTGGGGTTGGGATTGTTGGACAGGACTCCAACTGATAAATA